GAGTTAAACTTCCAAAATTTTTTTTTGTTTTTGCCATAATGCTGTACTTCCTGAACTTCAGTGCGGGGATGGGTGTGAGATAAGAAGAGTGCTTACCACACAGACCAAAAAAGATACGAAAAATTAAAATCCTCTTAGCTGCCACACCCAACCTCTTGAAGAGTGTATTGAAGTTTGGGTGAGATTTAGAGAAACAGATAAAGTGTTTTAAGAAACTGTGGATCTTGGAACAGGTTTGTTTTCACCTGGTCCTAGGCATCAGTTAGCTTCATAGTGGCTGCTTGGATTTTAAATACCACCTTACTTAAAGGCTTTCTAGATGGAAACCATACAACCATTTTCCTGCAGAATATCAGATTTTTGTATTTTGCTCTTTTTAAAGATTTTAATTTTAGCTAAGGGAACCCACTGGTAATGCAAACGATGAACATAGTCTAGAGAAGCTTTCTGGGGTGAGGTAAAAATTTTCATTAAACTTTTTCCTTAACATTTCAAGTGAAACAAATTAACTAACCTTCACAAAAGACAAACAAGCCCCTCTTTAAGCCTATACATTTCCCTTAAAAAAAAACCCAGAAATTAATTACTTCATCAAGTTCCAACTTACGCAAATGTAGCATATTTGACCCTCATCTAATAATGGAATTGCTGAGTCCTGTAGTGCTGGATAGTCAACTTAATCACAGACCTCTTGAATTGCTCTTTCCACAGATCTGTACCCCAGATTTGGTGGTGTTTCTGGCATGTTCCAGTCAAAGGCTGAAAGAAAGGTTACTGAAGCGTGCTGAACAGCAAGGGAGACCTGATGATAACCTGAAAGCCACTCAAAGAAGACTAATGAATTTCAAGCAGAATGCCGTCCCATTGGTTAAATATTTCCAGGAAAAAGGGCTAATCATCACAGTAAGTCCTTTAGTGTACACCTTTGAAAATTTAATCATTGTTGTGGTTGTATTTGGCTTCTTAGACCTTTTGCTTTAAGATAGGCTAGATCAGTCAAATTATATTTTAGGTATGCATCATGGTTACTGAAAGCAAACTTTCAGTTTGCTGAGAGAGTATTTTCTGCAAAATGCAGTAACAGAGAGCAAAATTCATGTGCATGTAGATGACATGGTAAGTGTCATGTCGATTCTTTGCTGCAGGCATAAATTGCTTCGCCAGCTAGTTATAAACCCTTTGCTCACAAATGATTTGCGTGAAAGAAGAGCTTGCTTCGAAACACTGGTTGCTATTCCAATGCCAGCAGATTCATCCCTTGCAACTAGTCATGTACTTTTTGGATGGTTGCCTTGAGAGGAGAGGAACGCAGAAAAAAATTACATTCTAACAGAAGCATGTCTTGAGTTGGATTAAACCAATACAGGTTCTTCAAGGAATAAATGTATCTGGCTGTTGATTGACTCCAGTGAATAAAAAGTCTTCAGATTATCTTATGGCTTAAATATGCCTTGTTACGTGGTCTCCTACAAGCTTTAACGTTTCAGATAAAAATTTTGATGACAAGAAAATTGCAATGTAAATAGGCCATTTGAATATCAGTAAGAATACTGATTTTTGCAATAATTGGGGCAGGAGAAAATACCTCTAAACACAGAACATATCAAAAGCTGCATTCATAAATAAAGCCAGAAGTACTTTATGGAAGTAAGCTAGCAAGTACTGCTGAAGTACTGCTTAATGATGACTAATTCAATGAGCAGTTGAGAACGGTTGGATTACTGACATGTTCTAAATTACAGACTGTGTCTGGTTGTAACAGTGCACAAAACTTGGTACCACATATGGTACCATGAGAGCACAGATGGCCTATTGGTATGGTCTCCTCATAGCAAATACGACTAATTCTATGTGCTGGTCAGATTCATGAAAGGCCAAAGCCTCCTTAACTACAAAGTCATCTAATGACGTTGGTAGCCTTAATAATGCGCTTCAACATTTTTCTGAATTTCAAAATGAAAATCCAGGGAAATTATTACATTGTTTTCTCCATAGAGTGTGTTTTCTGTTTGAGGATTTTGATTAACTCTGGAAGGATGAGAGGACTGGAATCCTTGGAAGTTGGTCTTCATTACTGAGGAAGTATGTATTTTGTGGCATCTCTATAGCCTTTACAAGTGCTCCTCTTATAGAAAGCATACTTAGCTCTTCAAGGATAATGTGCCTTTTTAGATAAAGCATGTGGGGCATCTGGATAGAATTCATCTTCTGTGACCAGATCTGTAAAACTGAGGATGTTTTTCCTATTGAGGTTTTGTCTTCTAATTTTTGGCTCTATTTCTGTAGAGTTCTAAAGATAATTCAAATTGCAATGTTCACCTTCGATATCTCTCTTCTTTTTGAAGAAAACAGATGTTTGTGATGGGTATGGAAATGGTAACATGGCATGTGAACATTGTATTACTGTCCAATACAGGGCAAGGATACAGCATATGCAGAAAATACTGACTTGGCAACATTTCAAAAACGTCTTTAATATGAAAAAAATCTGTAGGATTTGAATTTACTCCCTAACTGGTATGGTTATGGTATCTACTCAAAAGTGTGTTAATATCATTTCATACAGATCTAGAAATTACTGTAGATTTACATTGGTGTAGAAGTGAAGAGAATTAGAATTTGGAAGGGAAACTCTGTTGTTCGCCTGTCATTAGAGCTGCTACAGTGCAGTTGTGTTTCCCTTGTTGCAAAAAACAGGATGCTTTAGTAAAGCCAAGCTTGGAGAGTTAGATGCGAGACTAATTTCATGGCCAGTGGATAAAAGGATCGCTTTCTGTAGATGATAAAGAATATATATGGCAGACCTCATTTCCATTGAATATGGAAGATGCATTTTGCAGTTGCCTAAGGCAACTAAGTTAGTGGGGGATAAGTGAGAAAAAGAAGTAGCTGGGAAAGGAGTAATACAAAGAGATTAAGCATGCATACTCAAGTTGCAAGTAAGCAACAGAAAATTTCTACAAAAGGGCATTTTTTAAAACCACATGACCTTGGAACAGAGGAAACATATGCTAAGTCAACATAGAAAACTACATGCTATAAGAGCAAGTCGTAAATTTTAAGTGTTTCTAAAAAATTGTTATTTTGTCACCTTTTGTTCCTTTTTGTAGCACTTAATTTATAGATCAGCGTTATCTATAGAGTTTTAACATTGTTCTGACAAGGTAATTTCTTTTCATATGTTCATTTTATTGGAAATTCATTTTTCCAATGGGAAATCTAAGTATGTTTCTGCCAACTTCCTGTCCTATTCCTTTAAGCAAACATCAATGGAGATAACAGATGTTTTCTTAATCCAAATGGCTTTGATCCCATTGTCTTCTTCACTGATGAGCTTTGTTTTGGTTTTGAAAAAAAAAAGACAAATCATATAATTTTTCATAGCCTTCCATCAGTGGAAAAGACAGAGTTTTCTTAGAAAGCCATAGGATCCAAGAACCACTGCAGTCTTCATCACCACCTTCTCCTGGTGGAAGCCTTGTATCTTCAACTTGCCTTTACTGGTATGTATCTGTACAATACATATGTAATATTAACACTTCTACATACATTTGATGCACTTGTGCATGCTATTTCCTTACAGAAAGAGGAAGCAAGAAAGAAAATAGCATTTATCCTGCTGATTGTAATGTTGAACCTGGAAGGCACTGAAATATTATGCAGATGAGAGCTGTGTAAGAACTAGAACAGAATAAAATGGAATTGCACTAGCCTAATTCCTAGAGGACTGAATCCTTGAGGCAAGGTCAGGCAAGGCCAATGTTGACCAGGAGCAAGAAAGAAGATTTACATTTTTCTTAAATCCCTACCTGCACCTTGTCACTGCTATTCAAAGCTCTAAATCTCAGACATTTCTTCTACCCAGCATCACAATTCTACTCAGTGAAAAGAAACAGAACCATTTGCCTTATGAAGAGCTATAATTTTTGAACCACAACTCGAATTTTAAACATCTATTTAAAGATGTTGTTCTTCATCAATAAACAGAACAAAAGGGAAAAGAAAAATTCACTGAAATCTAACTGAATATGATTAATGAGTAGACATTTGATATAATTATAGTCAACTGTTAGACACTACAAGAGCAAGAAAATAAAAATCTAATTTCCCAAAGAATATTAATTCTTCTGCTCCAACAGTTATTCCATACTGGTTTTAACATATTTTGGTTAATAGAATTAAAAAGCACGTTCTTCACTTCAGGTCTTATTGGTTAGGTTGCTTAGGTGTAATTCTTTCCCTTCATCTTTTTTTTCCCTCTTGGTCTTAGATAATTTCATACAAGTACGTAGCGTGCTGCTCTGTATGCCTTATGTTTTCAGTCTGTGCATGGTATCCCTGCTCTCAGAGTCTGATCCCGGTTTCTGTTTTCAAGGAAAGAAGTCAGGGCCTAACTACAGTACTTCTATGAAACAGGAAGATATAACTGTCCTTTCTGAAAAACTCCTTCTTTGGAATAATAAAGTTGGGATATCCAAAATTTTGCATTGTTTTCCAAATTGAACAGATCTGTAAACTTCATTATAACTAAGAAAGAGAAGTAAGTATCTGATATTTTCATGAGCACACAGTCTGTGTTTAAAATTCTTTTTAGCAATCTGTCAGTAGGTCTAATAAATCAAATCCTGACTTAAGTCAAATTTTATTTCAGAAAGTATCAAGACAATAGTAATAGATATCACAATATTGGACATGGAGTATATAAATAGATACATATGCTGGCATTTATTGTATCAGTAACTTTTTTTAAATCTTAGAACATTATATGTTTTTTATCTAGACAATAACTAAGCCACAAATTACTGGGGGGGAAGATGTTATTTAGATTAAATTATAAAAGGGAGAAAATAAAAATGCCTAGATTATCCGCAAGTGCTGTAACATTTAGCAGAGGACCTCGGTCCTGAACACAGTTTAATCCATTCCCGTATCCTTCCTGCCAGCTAGCAAATGTTGGATTTTTATTATATTTGGTCTCAGGTGCTGACACGACAATTGGTATGCGTACACAACCATGCTCAATAAACCATGGCTACTACTGAGGTGTGGTCATGAGTAGAGAACTTCAGAATAAGAGGGTCTGTGTATGCAAACTTCTAGACAATGCTTGCTCTTCAAATAAAAATACTTAGGTGTTCGTATTATTCACCTATGAGAATCATTGTTAGGTACTTTGTTACTTTGGCTACAGTACTGCTAGAGATACCCTATTGTATCATTTCAATATCTAACACTGATTTGTAAGGGTTTCCCTCTTTTTTTTTTAGTAGATAACAATAAAAAAATAAGGCAAAGAAAGACAAAACCCCTAATCCCTATGTAACTAATGTGCTTTAATACTTTTAATGTGGTTGCTGTCCTGAGAGAGAGCTAGCTTGCTCTGAAAAATTGTGCTATGAGTTACAAACAATAAAAAGTTTATCCTTTTCCCTACCCCCACTGCTGGCACCCCAGCCTGGATAAACTGTGCTTCAGGAGAAAACTACTTTGTGTTACCTGAAGATCTAGTCCAGCACATCTTTGTTACCTGGTGAGAACTTAACTTTTAAAGGAGATTTCTATTAAAAGAGTTCGTAAGCATCAGCTGGAAAATTCAACTGAAAACTGTTTCACTGTTTTGTTAATTTCAAAATACATTTCTCTTCTGGACATGATATTGATGTTTCATCATTGTTAAACCTGGTGCTATGAACTACCTACTCCTTAAGAACTGTTGGATAAAGCTCAAGAAAATCACATTCACTGTCCTTTGAATAAATTACTATGATGTAAAATTAGATTCTAACTAGGAAACTTTTTCATTTATATCGCATCAGATGTAATTCATCCTACTGCAGGGAAGTTTAAAGAAGGCACCAATACAACGCGGTACACCATAATGAACAAATCATTATAGCACTTGT